TGTCGATCTAATAATTTTTTAAATAAATATACATTTTTTATTTCATATACAAAATTTGATTTGTAATAGCTATATAATTTTTTTAATAAAGAATTTTCTTTTAAAAATGTGAATCCCAACTAATTTGAGAGTGAATTACATTCTTGGTCCCTATAATTTATCCAAAGACTAATTTTATCCCTGAAAACGGTTGTTAACTAATAGCATTAACTTCATAGACCTTGAATGTCATAAAATTAAAATTTTAATTAAGGATCATCAATGTAAATAATCTGTTTTAAGAACCAAAACCAATTTTTCAGTAAACCACATGGATCACTAGCGTAATTCGCTCTAAGAAAAATTAAAGAAAATATTAATTTAAATTTACAATATTTATAATACGAAAAAAGGTTATTATTGTCATGTTCTAAAACTGTAAGTTAATTTGGTTTCTATATTTTGATAATCGGGTTTTCGTTGAAACTAATTATACATTATTTAAATAGAAATTTATTGAAAAAAGTTTTTTTTTTTAAAAGCTTTAATTTGATATATGCTACAGGACAAGATCACAAGATATCTAAAATGATAAAAAAAGAAAAATTAAAAGTTTTTATAATAAATTTTTTATGAAGTTATTATAAAAAATCTCCTTTTAACTTTGCAAAGTTATACGAACATATTTTTTTAATTGCATAAAAAACTTAATATGTTTTTCGAAACAAAAACCGATCAGATTATGTTTAATTTTGATCTCTTTAAAGGTAGAATATATAACTTATTATATATTTATTTTAAAATAAGAAACATAAAACCAAAAATTAGATAAATTGTGATGGGGTTTCTTATTTAACAAAGCAAGTGGGTGCAACAACTTCCATTAGATGAGACAAATAGGAACTTTTTAAAAGACTTATATAGCATAAGGATTATTAAACTCAAAATGAATATATATATATATATATATATATATATATACACACACACATATGCATATAGAGAGAGAGAGAGGGAAAAAAAAAGATTAAATACAAACCATCTATATTTGTACAAAACGTGCAAATCATCCTTATTCGTCGATTTCATTGTTTAATTTAATGAATTTGTTTAATGAAATTGTTTCATATAATACTTTTCTTGATGAATTTGTTTCATATATGGTTATGAAATTATTTCATGTATTTTTTTAAAATTAATATGATGAAGATGATAATATCTATGAATAACATCTTCTACAATAAAAATTATTAATCAACTTCTTATAATTATAAAAAAAAAAATTATGATTGATTAAATAAGATTTATACAATTTATATAAATACAATGGTTTAAAAATTAAACCTCATATTTGTCTGTCTCTCTCTATATATAATTAAGTATTTAGGCGGCTAACTTTAATTTATTCCTCTTTTTACCATGAATATGAAGGGAATATGTACCTAATTTGGCAAAAAATATGAAACCATTCTTCCACCAATCAAAAGGAGCAACTTGTATTCATGGTATTTGCTTATTGTAATATACAAAACAACCGATTTTTAATTTTGTTTTGAACCCTTTAAGATTAATTATAGAGTAAATTATATTTTTGGTCCCTGTGGTTTGTTGATTTTCTTGGTTTGGGTCCTTAGAAAATTTTTATTGCAAAAAATACCCTATGGTTTGTATTTTCGCTTGATTTTAGTGTCTCAATTTAACACCATTAACTTGCTTCTCGTTAAACCCCTTCATGTCACTTGCACATGAGAGTATATCTGTATTTTTAGATCCACCCTCTTTTTTAACCTTAATTTTCTCTCTCTCACCAGTAGTCTCTTCCCCTTCTCTCTTTTTTTCTCACTGTTGCACCCCCTCTCTCAATAATCGATCATCCAACATATCCATGAATTGTTCTTGATACGGATTGATCTGATGCATCTCGGTGTATCTCATCTTGGTTTATTTCATCTTAATATGCATCGATGGGTGAAAATCTCTTCTTATATTTCTCACCTTAACTCTCATTTTCATCGGAACCCAACACTATATATATACATATATACACGACAAATCAAATGCAAATCTTCTGAATATTACAAACTAATATTTATGGTAATGATACATGTGCATTTATTATGATTTGAATATTTAAAAGATGATTAGAGTTCATAATTTATAATTAACGTTTTATATTTGAAAACAATCGATGTATCTACGAAGCCAGACATTCGTTAGATTAGATGGACGGTTAATATTAATTTTTATAGTTTCTAACATTTGGTTGGTTTGCATTTGATGAGACCTATAATATATATATAGATGAATGATCATGTGAGGATAAGAGTTGAAGCGAAAAGCTTAAAAATGAATCTTGATCCTTGATCACTTTTAATCTCACTATCATCCCATAAATTGCGCTTATCACGAGAACGGTAAGAAGAGATCTTAATCCTTGGATCAATCCTTAATTGAAGATCAACAGTAATGAGATGCACCGAGACGCATCAGATCAATTTATGTATCAAACGCAATTCATTGGTGGAATGAGATTAAAACTGATCAAGAATCCAGATTCATTCTTACACTTTTCATCTTGTATTTTCATATAAACATTCAGTGTCTATATCTTATGAAACTCTTAGCCACATGAAACTAGGATGCCGTTTCGAAGATATCAAAAGTTACAATGTGCTTATTATATTAACATATAAAGAAGAATATGAATGAATAAATAATATCAAATACTTAATAAATAGTTTTTGTTAATATTATATATATATATATATAATATTATATATATATATATATAATTATAATTATAATTATAATTATAGAGGAGCCTAACCAACATCCATTCAGTGAGACAAATTCAACTTATTCAAAAAGTCAAAGTATTCTTCTTTAAATCCTTTTGGACATATATACTCTTTTGAAGAGTTCAACCCACAATATGTGCACGAGGGCATAACACATACATCCAAGGGCAATAAACCATGTAAAGATCCAAAAAACATGATATATGGATCATATTTCTAAATTTAATTATATAATACACGCACAAATAATCAGAATCATCGAGATAAGCTAATGATTAATTTGAATGTAACTGGTTATGTGAATGTTGCAAGCATAGAACAAATTTGTTAGATTAATCAGTTTATTTGTAACATATTTATATAAAAAGCACAGATGCTAATCCTAAATTAACTTAAGAATCCAATTAATTAGTGATTACAAAATTTTGACATGTCATGAGTTTTGTTGTAGTGATTACAACGACTTCATCCTTACGGACCAGTGTTTGGGATTCAATTTGCCAACATTGAAAGTAGGATAAGCTCGTTTGGAGATCGACCACGAACGTGGCCAACTAAAAGAGAGTAGGTGTTGTGGTTATTTTATGTTAATCGGCATAACTACAATATGAGGTAAGTTCATTTGAGAAACCGTGAGAATCAACTACCTGAAAATTGCTCATGATGAATATTATGATAAATATTCGTGATGAATATCATGAATAATAAAAATGTGAGAATATTCATGATGAATAATATTCATAATGAATAATAGATATTTATTTTTTTATGAAGTGTATGATCTAGAAGCCGAAATAACAAAATAATGCCCAATACCATTTATTTTTAAAACGATAAACTAATAAACCATTGACGGTTTTTTTGTTTCACTCCACATTAACTTTATCGAAACCACGACACCGTCTCTCGTTTTTAATGCACCGCCCCCCCCAATTTCAATTCATAACTAGCCCCCCGATTTTTAATACATTAGGTGGCCCCCAGATTCTATTTTAAATATACACAACTAAAACAATCTTAAAATCGAATTAAATTAGTCCTTAATTCATAAACAATATAAAAACATGAAAACGGACAAACTTCCATGTCTAACGACTCTTTCAATTGATTTCAAATTGAGGATCTTTAGGTGTAATGGATTTTCAACATAGAAATCTAAGGAAAGTATTATAAAACTAACCAACGGATTTGTCTCATTGCTTTAAGAAGTTTCCTTTTGGTGCATGTTTTGTGCCAAAAACATTTTTTTAGTTTTGAACAGGCGAAGAACTTAAAAGATAATCTTTTTTAAGACGACTATTGTGCTTAATATAATTTTCATTGTATATATAGAGTGATGATGTTTCAAATGCAATCTGTTACATTTGTACAACCAATAAAACCCAATCAATTGAGATATTTATGGAAATGATGATAGTTCATTTATTATGATTTGAATATTTATGGAAGATAACTATGCTTCATTAATTATGATCAATACTTTATATTAAAAAACAATTAAATGTAAATGGTTACATAATAACTCATATCTCTCTATATATGCATATATGTGTCTTGAGACAAACTAGAGAGGTTCCATGCATACACATAGCAAAAAGACAATCACTAATTACCAGTTTTCCAGTCAATGGTTTCTTGCCAAAACCATCGAACATTTTCCACGTTTTATTGATTCATTCAGATTTACCAACTACCGTTCTTTAGAATAATTTATGCATTTAGTCCCTCAACTTCATTTATTGTAGAAAAAGCTTTGTGGTTTAAAATTTGTTTTAAAATTGGTCTCTTATCCCAACCTCTAGCTCTCAAACGTCTCTGTTAACTACGAGGGCAAACTGGTCATGTTACTATTTTTCTCTATTTTAACATTTTTTCTAATTATGTATTTCTGTGTTCTGAATCTTTATCTTCTCTGGTCGTCGATAATAAACCCTAAAATTTAAACCAAAACATAAATTAAAAAAAATCTAAAAACCTGAATCAAAAACCCTAAACACCAAGGAAGAACAACAACCATTGCCTCGCGAATAGCCATGGGTGTTTGTTCTTTCTTTTTCCTTTTTTTCTTTTGTTGTTCTTATCGATTGTGCAAAAGTAAATAATTAATCGATGTTTGCAGTTTGAAAAATCTCAACTTAACGCAACCCAAACCAAAATGCAATCCAACTCATCCAAACCGTACAGGTTGGTCGGGTTGATACTTTGATTCATCAAAATATTCTCTTATGTTTGTTACCTTGAATATGTTGTTTTATCTACTTATAATTCCTTTTCCATCATCAGTGATTTGGTAATCTTTAAGTATATCAATTTGCAAATATATGTTCACATTTACTGAATATATATACGAATGAGTTGTGTAGAGATATGGAAGAGATTAAAAATATATGTATATAAAGAGGGTACATGATAGTGCAATTGTATAGGGACTTAAAATCATATTAAACCCAATAAATAGAATGATATCAGGCTCATTGAATTGGGTTGGGTTCAAATGACGGTAACTGGTTCCAACCCAATACTTGCGTTTTGAAGATTCTACAACTCGATTAAACCTCAGGTTGTTTCGGATGGAGTTATTTCACATCGGATTAAGTTGGGTTAGGTTGGTCGGCTGTTTAAGCACCCCTAATAAAACCCTGCTCATATATTTGATTATGGGTTTTGATTGTATTCTAATTTAGAGCTTTTTATTTTTGATCTTTATGATAATTATACTGGTATTTCCAGTTTATTTCGAATAAACCCTTATTTTTGTTTCCATTTATTCTTCCATATTATGTAAAGAACAAGGAAGAACAAGAACATCCAAAGGAGAGAGAGAGAGAGGTGAAAAACAAAGATTTACAAAAAAGAAATTAATAAAATGTTAAAATAGAGAAAAATGGTAAAATGGTCATTTTGTCCACATAGTTAGCATAGATGGTGGACCAACGTTGGTATCAGGACCAATTCCATAACAAAATGCAAACACACAAGGCTTTTTTAGTAATAACTAAAGTCGAGAGACCAAATCCATACTAAATCCCATACTAGAGGGACCAAAGCCATAATTTACTCTTTTCTATAAATAGTGGATCTCCTATTTCTCTCCAGCACAGAAACACAAAAAATCAATGGCGGTCTGCTTGAAGATGAATGCTGTGCTACAGAAAAGAGATCTGATGCTCAACAAAGAAAGAAACAGTTACGGAATCAAGAACAGAAGTATATCATGCAGGATTCAGGAGTTGCCAATTCAAAAGAAGAATCTGTATCAAGTTCTTTCACTGGAGTCTCGAACGGTTAGCTTCGATGAGGTGAAGAAGGCATACCGTATGAAAGCTCTGCAACTCCATCCGGATGTCTGTCCGTCCTCCATTAGAGAGGAATGCACGAAGCAATTCGTGGAATTGCAGAAGGCGTATGAAGTTCTTTCGGATCCAAATTCTCGAAGAATGTATGATAATGAATTGAGCTTGATTGAATCGTTTGGGCGCCATGGCTGCTACGATGATGAACAGAAGGGGAACAACTTCGTCTCAAGGAAGGTGTGGGAAATGCAACTTGCTGGACTCAAGAAACGATCTGCAGATCGAATGGAGAGGATGAAAAACGAATTTATGGAAAGGATATAAGAAATTATATCTTGTAATTTGTTAATAACATCATCTTGTTAGTTGATTTTTGATCTTCATTTTAGGTTTAGGGTGTTATCATGGCGGTTTCCGATTAGAAATTGTATTGAAGATGCTGCTCATGTAGAACAATTATTCTTTCCATTCAGCTCCATTTCATTTTTTTCTTTCTACGGTAGATCCTCGTGGTGATCGTTTTCGGTCGGTTGTTCGGATTTGGGTGGTGGCGGTGCGTCTTGACGTGGAATCGAGATGGTCGATTTTGTGGGCGGCCTTCGGAACTAGAGAACCTGGTTTTGATCTTGAAGACGTTTGATTCGCATTTATACTACACTCGTAATTAAATAGGCCAAGTTAAAACCAAACAAATTCGGTTACGCTGTGTTCTCGACGCTTCTTTCGTGTTCTTGAAACTTTTAACGATGGGAAAAAAAAGTAAAAAAAAAAGGAAACTCGTTTTCTTAAAAAAGGATAATAATGATAAGTTTTTCGAAAAAAGAAAAGAAAAAGAATTAAATGTTTTTAAAGAAATAATTAAAATTATAAAACTACTTAATATTTTATTTTAAATGATATATTTTAGAAACATCAAAAACAATTTTTATTTTACCTTTATTAGATTCAAAATGTTTTCTATTTATGTTAAAACGGTATAAAAAATCTTTTATCACTTAAAATGATTAATAGGAGTTATAAAAACCTAAACTTTATTTTTAATTAAACTAACCTTTTGAGCTATGTGTGTGGGTGTCTTCCAAAGTATTATCTCCAAAAATGCCTTTAACGGCAACCATCGCTCTACTCAAACCTTAGGAGCCCTGCCATCCGAAGATCCAGATTACATGTCATTTTAAGAAAAATGTTAGGCTTAACGTCTAATGAGATCAAACAGATTTATAAAAAAAGATGGAAACCATACAAATCAGTAATACAAGGTTTAAACTAATAAAGAGTTCAAGCCGATTCAACAATAAGACAATAAAACCAATTATACGTCTTGCAACGACGGAAGAGACCCAATTTCTATTGATCATGACGGAACACAAAAGTAGGCCACAAATCTATGTTGTAGAGCTTCTATTATTGAACATTGGTTATTAAGCTCAACCACTCATGTCATGTAGTTCGAGTCCGCCAAATGAACTAAGATTTGCTCATTTGCTAAAATCAAATATGTAGGGATCACAAAGTTATCAAGTTCAATCATTCACGGTATATAGTTTAAGTCCCCAGATGAACTAATATTTGCTAGAATTGAATCATTACGGGTCACACGATCATCGAGTTCACTCACCCACGGTCTATAGATCGACCCCCCCCCCCCCCCGGCGGTGATTTACATATGTATCTACCTATGTCGGGGAAACAAGTATCCCACTAAAATTCATAATCTAACTTTTGTGCCTATGGATCAATTGCATTACGGTATATGACTTGATATCGCCTTAACGTGATTGACTATACACAAATATATAGTTTTTCTTATCGTACATTTTGCCATCCTCAACATTTAAAGTTCAAGATTGACCAAAGGGTTCATATTCTCATAATTCCCTATAGACATGTTTCTCTTCTTTCTCAAATCAAATACCAAAATAATCATTTATTCAAGAGTTCATAACCCAAAATGGCCTTGTTCCATAAATGATAATAATTTTTTTTTCCCAAAATATAACCTCTTTCCAAGGATGAAATCTCATAAATAGTTTAAATCCATAAAGTCTAAGGGGCCATTTACCAAACACTTACCCGATAAACGTTTACCGGTAAAATTTAACACTACCACTTATTTATTGGGTAAGACTTTATTCCACTAAAACGACATCATATGCAACAATTTACAAAGTAAACTCTTACCATGGTAAGAGTCGTCGTTCTCACTTACCGGGTAAGACTCTCGGTCCTTGTCTCCCTCTTACCGCGTAAGATTTTTGATCCTTACCATATTCATCCGGTAAGGTAATGTGACTTGGTAAGCGTTTACCCGGGTAAGCGTTTGGTAAACGATCCCTAAGACTTAAAGTGTCATGTGTGTAATAATAACACACTCTCATATTGTGATTAAGGAACTCATCCATTTACTTAAAAAGGGTTTATAAACCCCAAATCTCCCAACATATTCAATTTAGGTCAAATCCATATAATATGAAAAATACAAGGAGTCTTGGAGATTAAAATGCATCATTTTAACAATGTATAAAAATTTAGAAAAAGTTAGATTGAACTCACAATACTAGGTTTTGCTGAAAACCTAGTATCAACAAAACACTTGGAACGTTCTAAAGTTGTGAGTCTATGTGTGCGGACAAAACGCACAATATCTTGTACGGTTGACGTGGGATGTTACAAGATGGGAGACTTGAATCTTGGATCCTAGTCTTAAATCTCTAGCTTTAAAGACGATCCAATCCTTAAAAGATGATGAACAACCTTCTTCAATCCCTTCCAAATCGTATTCAACGAGAGGGATAAAAGGGTTTTGAAGGAGAAAATAGGCAGGTGAGGGAAATCAATGAGAAACCCTAGAAAATTGGACTTAAATACGGAGACCAAAGCTTCTTGCGGCTTGTACCGCGACTAAGGTTGCAGCATTAGTCGCCCGCGTCCTTTAGGTCCAAACAACCCAGTGAGTCATGCTGCTTTAGCTACGGCTTTTCCCATGTGGCTACCTGCAGGACTCACCGTTTCAACCCCTACTCACAAACTTCGATAGATTACCAAGAAACCAACTATACCAAGGCTGAAGTCCACAATAACACCGAAATGAAAGATATTTCAAGGTCAAGACTCACATGGTAAACTCTAAATTATAATATAACAAAATTTAGGTTGTTGCATTTCATATTTTTATCTTTTTTAAAAATATATTGTGAGAAAAATACATTTACACGTTTTTCATCTTCTCTTTTATCTCTCTCAATCCATGTTTTTCTTGTTTAAATCTTTATAAACATTAAAGACCAAACTAGAAATCTTCATAATTATATATTTATTTGTATTATTAATCTTAAAATGTATAACTAAATTATATTTTTATTAATTATATGTTTATTTGTATTATTAATCTTCATAAATATATATTTATTTCCTTTATCTCTTCTTTCTTTTCTCTGTTCTTTGAATTCCAAAAGGTTGTTTGGTTTCTTGTTTGACCAAATATTTTGAAAAGATTTGAATTTGATGAATTGAGAGGATTTTAATTATAAGAATTTGAAATATTCGATGTGTTTAGTTGGTAGAAATTTATAATGAATTAAACATTTTTTATAAAAAGAAAATTTTAAAAATAATTAAATTATATTTTTATTAATTAATTATTACAAAACAAGTATTTTTAACATATTGTAAAAAAAATATCACGAATAAATCATATGAAATGCTGCAAAACATCAACAACCCCCATTGGATTTCTAAATCCCATGAGATTATCAAATCGAAGCATTTCTTCAAACCAAACACAAGATTGAAATGTAATTACTAGTAGCCCTTAACTTGGGGACGTAACAAGCATAAAGACAACTTTAATCACCGATGAGCGTAAAAAGTTCCATCAAACAAATAAAAAAGATATACCAGTATATCTGCACGTCTTTTAAATGAAATAAAATAGAATGTGCCTTAACCATATTCGTAACTTGCTTTATTATGAAATCATTGGCAAGTTGCTTATAAGCTACTTTTTAAATATCTTTGTAATTTACTCGTAATTTCTACAAAAACTATAAGAGAGATTGAAGAACTTGATGAAGTCGTTGAGTAAACGATGAAGAAACCTTAAATTGAAGCAATCAAGCTTTGCGAGGAAGGCTTGATATATTAAAAACGTTTGTCGGTAAAGCATAGGTTTAAGAAGAGAGTGTAGGTGTCGAGATCCAACCATTTGATATTGCAAGGATAACAGATAAATGAAAATGGACAAAGAAGACTGATTCCACGATAAGCCAACAACTACTGCTAAAAGCAGAATAACTCAAAATCTGTTAAAAATTGGAGGAAGAGAAAATACATAATTCGAAAAAGGCTTTATATGTTCATGAAAGGTAAATATTTTTTAGAAAGTGCAATATTGAAGTATGTTTTGACAATTGATTAGAACAAACTTTTAAGTTAGAAACTACAAGACTTTTTGTTAACAAATTAAGATTATATCTGTTAGCAATTTAATAAGTTTAATGAGATTTACATCTTATTCTGTCAGTTGTATATGACTGTTTGGTTTAGTGATATAAAAATTGATTTATTCAGTAAACTTCTGGGGAGGAGTTTTATGCATAAAACTAGGTTTTTTCCAGACATGTCTCTCTTAATTAAAAAACAAGCTCTTTGTATCTGTGAAAGAACTCTTTTAAACAAAAAGTTTTCCAATCTTTGCAAACAGATTAATCCATACAAACAACTTTATCAATACACGACTTAATAGAAAAAAGCCCAAACAATCCCTTAATCTTGGGTTGCTCAAAAACTTATCAACCTGATTAACCCAACCCAACTCAACGCGAAATAACTCAAACCGAAGCAACCCGATGTTTAATCGAGTTGTAAAGATTTCAAACCATAGGTATTGAGTTGATATTGAGTTACTATTATTTGAACCCAAAATTCTTGAATTTAATATGATTGTTGAATTTTTATTAATATATACATTAGACAATTGCAGTATCACGTATACTCTTCATATACACATATTTTCAATATATTCACATCTCTATATAACTCATTTTGTATATATGTTCAGTAACTATGAACATATATATGTAAATTGAAAAAATTAACTGAATGTGATATACGTAAGAAGTATGGATAAGTTATATCAAATGGTCGATGATGAAAAATAAATTATGAGTAGCGAAATAACATATTAAAGGTTAGAAGAATATTTTAATGTACCAAATTATCAACCCGACCAACCCGACCAACCCACACGGTTTGGGTTGGGTTAAGATTTTTCAAACCAGAAACATTGGGTTTGAATTGTTCAAATGTCTTGAGTTGATCAACCTAACCTATGAGCATCCCTATCTTAATCAGCTTAATAAGACTCATAGTTTATTCAATCAATTATATATGATTGTATGATAGTGGCTTAATGAATAATGACATAGAAAATGACTACATTCAATAAGCTTTATATAGAATGTTAAGTTTTTTTCTTTCCCAATTAAAAATAGAAAAAAAGACAGATCCCAAAACCTTTCTAATCTATATAAACAGATTGATCTACACAATTAACTCTATTCATAATTTCATACAAAATTGTGAAAAACCAACCAAATAATCCAAAATACATTTATCGTATAAATAAAACAAAAATATATGATGTGTTTATTGATTTTGTATTTTAAATTTTTTTTATACGGCGTTATGTAGTCAAAGGTACGACTTGCGAGACCGGTGGAAAGAGAGCACACGAGATGGCCTCCGTCGTGAAGAACATCCTGAAGAGCATCAGGGAGAGGGGTATCGTCAACTTCGCAAGGGATCTACGTGAAGATGGATTTCTGTTAGTTTTCTCTTTCAAATATCCATGTGTTTGCACTTTATAATTTACACATTCTCGGTATAAACGTCTGTTAGAAAGTAAATCAAATCTATAATCGCAAGTTTGAATGATCAATGTTGGAAAGAGGCTTTGGATATGTTATTTGATTTCATCCATGGCTTAATTAAATGTATATAGACTGTGCTATGTAATTTTTCTGCTATATTTTTGTTGACGAAAGGGGAAAAAAAATGCACGTTTTCTTGGATTTACCGAGTTTTGATTTCATTGTGATGAAGATTATGTGATCTCTCGCAAAGTAGAGTAGCCGTATGTTTAGAGTAGTTTTTCCGTTGATATTTGATTTTTTAGGGTTTACTAATGTGAGATTCCAATAAAAGTTTAGGTGAAGCTGAGGGTCCTAATGGACGAACACAAAGGTGAAAAATTATTTAGGGCAACTCCAACCTTCACACCAAAAAAAAAACCAAATAGGTGGGCCCATAAACACCAAAAAAATACTCAACTCCAACCTTTTGCCGTCCATCTCTTCCACGGCAAATTTGCCGTTCATTTCCTTCCTCCGGCAAAACTTTGGTGTTTTTGGCTTGCGATTGGATCCAAAAGAACGGCAAAACTGGAGTTGCTCTTAGGTTGCTTTGCTAGTTGATTTAGACTCTTTCAAAATCTACTCCGCATAACGCCTACGCACACATATATATCCTCGCACATTTTATACATATATATTAGTCACATAGGCATATTTTACACACAAAACATATAGATAGGTGTATACTTACATATGTACATGTACACACATATGTGTATATTACATATATGTCTATAACTGTATATGTGTATATTACATATATGTCTATAACTGTATATGTGTATATATGTTGTATTTAGTTAGGTTGCTGCATGTCCATTCTGTAGAAAGGGTTAATCGGTTGGGCCTTCTATTTATTTTTGAGGGTGGGACTTATCCTTCTTCCCTATGTTGGCTTCTTTGATTGTTAATCTTATTTATGTTCTTTGGGTTATGTTGTCTTGCATTTGAGATTCAAGGCTTGATGTTGCATGCTATTTTTCTTGTTAACACATCAAATGCCCATTTTGACTTTTCATCACCAAAGACGGTAAATAAATTCAAGTTAATTTGACTTTTTGACATAATTAATACCAATAATGTCAAAATATATATGGAATGCTACTTGCATAGTATGAGGAGGTTATCAAAACTATTTCAAGGTCAAGTAAATTCACATCAAAAGTTGAAGTTGAAAAAACATAAGATTTGATAATCTCAAGTCATAGCGGGGATTTATTAAAGGAGTATTTTGATTGTTTCTTATTTTTGGGTTTGTGTTGTTTTCTTTACTATTATATATCAGGTTTTCTATGTATAACTCTATTTTGCATAATCTTCTTGCTTGTTGCAGGAATTGTCTTACGGATGGAAATCTTCTGTAAGTGAAACTCCTACTTAAAGTACATCTATTTTTCGGCTAAGAACCATGGTTACATTAGTCTAGTTAAATGAATTAGTTATGTGCTTCTGCATTTGTACAAGTGTAACTTTTGGCGATTCACAACCTCATCCTCCAGGCAATACAATATTCTTTTGCACTGATTCTTTGTTTACCTTGTACTCCATGTGTAGGTTCTAACCATAAAGAAGTTCTCTTTTATTGGCTAAGTATTAAAGACGATACAGATATACAATGTCAACGCACTTGACATCAACTACTTACTATGAGTTATTGTTTAATGTCAAAGTTCAGATTGTTTCGTGGTGGACTAGTAGCGTCCTGGCTGTTACTTTCAGGGAACTAGTTGAACAACTCATGTATGGGCTTTGCCAGGTCTTAAAACACAGACATTTATTGGAAATTTCATAGGTAGAAGTGACCTTCTGCGTCAGTTTGATGCAAATATATACAGTTTAAATGTGTTGTTTAATGTTTATATGAATTTATCAGAAATGTATGGTTTAATAGATATCCCGAATCTTGTATGCTGCTCGAAGAGATCCCATGCCATATTATATAACACCTTAAGTTTTAGTTACAAGCAGGTTAGGAAGCATATGTAAAGGTCCTTGTTTAGAAGGTGATCATTGTTTCACATTCTTCTGATTTTATGTTGCATCTCCTTGAATCCAATCATCTATTGCACATGTATATCATTAACCAAGATCTTTATGACCCTCGATGATTGAGCCGGCTAGATCTATTTGGTCATATTGGTGATTATGATTAATCCTCACCAACACATGACATCAAATAATGCTTCATAATTCTTATGTCTGAAAGCATATCATAGGGTAACATATATTCATAGTGTTTCTCCTATCAGGTTCATTATGCAGAAGTAAGGTCACAGATTGTGGTATTTTCTATTTACATCTGAGAATTTTTGGACACCTCACCCATCACCCCTTGAGAAAAAAGCTTTGAGCTTGTAAGCTCATGAGGATAGGGTCATAGAATTTTCATTAAATATTTGCAAGCTATATTCTGCACCCACAGGGGATATATTTTTCTGCATATATGATATTAATTGATTGATTGATTCAAAATGTGCATCTTGGTCATTTTCTATTGAAAAGAGCTTCTACTGTAAAATTTTATTTGATTGAATCTACTATTTTGATTTTTAAGGGTAGAACAGGAGATTTTGATTACCAAATTGCAAGATGAAATTGAAGGATAGTACCTTTTTGAACACCCGTATTATCAGGAACTATTGAATTCCTTATTCAATTTGGTTAAAAGGTTTTTGGGGGTTGAAGAGAGTGGAGTAGATGAGGAAGAGATGCAGAATTTGATACTAACAGGATAAGGAAGTTCATTGACAGTGCTTGACAGCTAACTCGCTCTCAGCGACTGGAGTTAGGGTTCTTTTAAAGGGTGCTTACGAGTCATTAGCAACGTTAGGATGTTCTATCTTTTGTTGGATGGGTTTTTTGTCCTTCCATGTTTCTTATTCAGTTCTAGTAATATTTTCCCAATGCATTAATAGTCGAGCAACTAGCTTGTCACCCTTGGTAACAATTTCAACTTTAAGGAGCCCTCAATGGGCCCATTCCAATGGCCTCTTCAGGTTTTATCATACGTCATTGCAGGATAGCAGGGGCAGCCTCTCTTACTGGTTATTTCAAAAAGGAGACATGCAAGACACTTGGAACCTGAATTGAGGACAAGTGCAATATATATATATATACCCCAAAATGCTTATTTTCCCAATGACCTGATATTTGGCCATGGAACTTTGGTGCTGGATTAGTAATCTTCCTCCTTGTTTGTTGCATATGTGATTATAGCTTGAACATACCCAGTCCCCCCTGCAAGCACTTTTTCTTCTAAGCAAGCATGCGATGCCTTCGTGCTTTGTGGTGCTTTCATATACTGCTGCTCTTGTTGTCTGGAATTGGTTTCCTAGTGTTCTTGCAGTTCTAGATGACACAAACAAAGACTGGTAGAAGTTAAGAGAATTGGTTAAGGGAGAATGGGGGATGGCCATATGAAACTCATAGGCTGTTGCACCAAGTGGCCTTTGGCTCATTGGTACCAAAACCAAACTCAACGAACCCTTAAGTCACACAAGTGACATAATAGGCATCATTCACCAATCAACAAGAAAAACTTGAGTTTTATTTTGGTTATGCTTCCTCGTCATTTGTCATGTTTGACAATTGGAACTCTAAAATTTCTGTTTACTTTGCATCAACTATTATCTCCAATAATTCAAGAATTTTAAATGTTTGGTTTGTCATTGATTCAGGCAAACCAAGATTCATAATATAGGTGCAACACTAGTTGGTGTTGACAAAATTGGCAACAAATACTATGAGAAGCTAGGCGAGACGCAATATGGTGAGCACCTTTTATCTTGAGTTGTTTACCAATATAGACGCTTCTTCGTATGTGAAGAAAGATAACTATTTTCATTTAGTCACTTCCACAAAATATGATTACTTTTGAAGTTGGACTACTAGGTTTCAATCTACCTTCATTATTGCCTCTCTCTGCCTCCATAAGGACACCAACATCCAAATTCCTAAAACAGTCTGTTACTTGTCATTTGTGAATGGAATGATATGATGATATTGCTAAATCCTGGGACTTCTTGTGGTACTTTTCTGTTATAATCTCTGCCCCTGTGAAAAGTAATTGCTGTTATGATCATTAGAAAAAGGCAAACTTTAATGTGATAACGATACAAAGTGTCAAGTATGATAATTATGTTGGAATTCAAATTTGTATTGTAGGAAGACACAGGTGGGTAGAATACGCTGCCAAGGGCCGTTACAATGCTTCTCAGGTCCCAGCCGAATGGCATGGTTGGCTGCACTTCGTTACTGATTACACAGGAGACCAGGTAAGTCAAAACACTTGTACAAAGCATACATGTATCATCTGAAACACCAAAAACATAACCCACCAAAAAACACAATATTCTTTTCTTTTTTGAAGTACACAATATTTATATATGGCAGATGTTCACGCACACTACTCACTTTTGGTGAGGTTTGAACCCTTGACCTCCAAGGAGGCTGGGATTTAGCGATAACCCGGATACTGCTGGGCCAGTGGCTTTTTGTTAACACAATGGTTTTTCGCTGCAGCTTCTGATGCTAAAACCGAAGAGGTATGGGTTGGATCACAAAGAGAACTTTACCGGGGAAGGTGAGGAACATATCTACCATTCCAAGGGACATGCCTTGAATCCTGGGCAGAGAGATTGGACCAGGTATCAATCTTGGCAACCCACCAAGACCTAAAAAATTTCTTCTTCAGGAAAGAAAATTCATCGGCGTATGATGTTTTAGCAACTTCATGGTTGCAATCAATCGTTACAAAGCTGAGGCCTGAGTGTTAACTTTTTTCCATGTGTTTTTTTCGATGGTTTTTGTTATCAAAACCATGCTTGAACAAATGTGCTTTCTGTATTCGTGTAATAATACGTTATTTTCCTGAACAATTGAAAGGCTAGGCTCCTTTCTCGAGTCAAAATGGCCAATTTCTGAATAGTCAACTCGTTTGAGTGAAGTGCTATGACTTGATGCTACATTCGTTTTATTAGAGTTCACTAACGGAATCTCAAGTTCATGTGACCTTGATCGCATGCAATTTTCTCCATAATGCACTCGCAATAACCCTTCAAGAAAATTAGGCCAATAACATGATGCATGATGCATTTTTACTTTTTGATAACACACTTGTAAGTAGGGGTATAAACGAGCCGAGTCGAGCAATAGGTTATTCGAGCTCGACTCGAAAAGTAAATACCAGACTTGAGCTCGAATAACTTTTTCAAGGCTCGAACTCGAATATTCTTTGGATTATCGAGTTCGAGCTTGATGCTCATTTATGGGCTCGAACTCGCGATTGATTAGCTTTTTTATTGGCTCGAGCTCAATACTTTTAATATTCTTGATGATTTATGAATGTGAGCATGTTTGGCTTGAAAAAATATATGCACGAATGACTTGACTCGAAAAATTTAATCAAGTTTTCGAACGGACGGAGTAGAACATTAGTATTAGGAAGCTCAACTCGTTAAGTTATACGAGTGTTATACTGTTATTATGTGTTTGAGATTGTTTTGCTCGAGCAGCTCAATAAAATCTCAATAGTTTACACCTCTATTTATAAGATAAACGTGTATTAAATTAGTAAGAGGCCGTTTACTAAACGCTTACCCGGTAAGTACTTATTGGACAATTTTCCTTACCGGATGAACATGGCAAGGGGCAAGAATTTTATCCGGTAAGAGCGATGATAAGAATGGAGAGTCTCACCCGATAAGTGAGGGTGACGACTCTTACCCGGGTAAGCGCTTACCAGGTAAATTGTTTCATAAGATACGTTTTGATGTACTACAATATTACCCGATAAAATAAATTATAATATTGACTCTTAACGGNATATTGACTCTTAACGGTAAGCGCTTACCAGGTAAATTGTTTCATAAGATACGTTTTGATGTACTACAATATTACCCGATAAAATAAATTATAATGTTGACTCTTAACGGTAAGCGCTTACCCGGGTAAGCATTTAGGTAAACGGCCTCTAACTTTCCATTTTATAATAAGGGCTTGTTTGGCCAAAACCGAAGCTCTATGGTGTTTTTGTTAACGAAGTTCATGTCGCAACCTGTTTTTGTAAGTACACAAAGAAAAACTAATATCGAATAAATTAAGAAGAATATAAGAAATGTTGGAAGAAGGTTTGACGAAATTACCCTTATTACATAGTTGCAAGTTGCAACTAAGACAACAATAAACATATGCAATGCAAGGCAACGAGGTTTGGAGACCAAGGACGAAATACGAAGGACCGTTACTACAAAATAATTCTTAAGGGACCAAAAACGTAATTTTGACAGTAGTTTAAGGACAACTGTTGTAATTTACTCACTTTAATGACGTGAAATCTTGAATATAGGTAATGACAGGTCAGATCCGATGTGATCTGATCCTCCAGTCAACCTTCGTGAACCTGAACACGATCATCTGCAGACTGCCGGTGAGTTCTTCCGCCTCCAGTTGCAAAGCACATATCGTGTCTATTTATCTGTTTCCATCGACGCTGATTGTATCTAATCCTACACCAATATCGTGCAATTATAGCATTAAGTTTTGATAAGGTTAGCTATTACATGATAAATATTTCCATTTCTGTAGCAAACACTGTAATAAGTTTTGATAAATTGGTTTTGGTTTCAATTTAGATTTGTCTCCTCTTCTTCTCTGCTTTGTATTTGTGCGAACTGTAGTGTAGATGCTTGTATTTTAGGAAACCTGTAAATGTTCTTGTTTGATATAAGAGCTGCCTTGTTTCTGCCCAGTGAAAATTACATTAATTAACAGGAGGCCTTGAAATTTTGGTTCAGGATTTTTGTTTGAAGAGAGAAACAATTTTATCATGAAGACATGGCCATTAGTTTTCGTGACATTTGATTATACAATCAAAAAATGGATTTGCTATAAGTAGTTTTTGAGAAAATTGTTCTTTCACATGCCATGACAACCACTCAGATCAATCAACCCGGAATGCTTGTTTGGTAGACCTATGCTACTGTTGGTATATTTGACAGAATCTGATATACTTATTAAATCGGGAGACCACCATGGAAGAGGCTCTTCTTCTTTCCTTAAAGCGATTACTCATCCCCATCAGTTGCACAAATATGTTATCTGCGGGATCTCTGGTAGCTCTAGATCGCCAACAAGCTATACGTTCATCTCTTGTAATTCTCTTGAATCAACTCAGAAAGATGATGCTAGGGTACGAAAATGAGGAAGTGCAAGGTCTACTTGATGTAATCGAACTGCTGGTGGATCGCAAACTTGTTGCGCCTCAGTTTGGAAAATCATTCAGTGACGGGATATTAGAGGCTTGTGAAAAACTCTGTAACATCAGATTCAGCTCAATCATAGGGGCAGAAGAAAATGTTGTGGGTTTCGATGATGAAGTAGCAACACTGCTTGATCAACTTACTAGCACTTCTACAAAGCAGCTGCAGGTTATCTCAATTGCAGGAATGGCTGGGCTTGGTAAGACCACTTTGGCTAGAAAACTATACAAAGATCCGTTAATTGAGTATGTCTTTGACATTCGAGCATGGATTTGTGTTTCTCAAGTATATCTGAAGAGGGATTTATTACTCGGCATGTTAAGCTCTTTTATTAATGATCATACAGAAGAGATTTATAAAATGAGCGACGAACAGTTGGGAGAAAAGCTATACAGACATTTAAAAGACCGTCGATATTTGGTGGTCTTGGATGATATATGGGATTGTAACGCCTGGAATGATCTCAGAATGTATTTTCCAGATGACAAAACCGGAAGCCGGGTTCTATTTACCAGCCGTGACATAGACCTGAGTTTACATGTCAGAGCTGCCAGACCTGCCCATGTTTTGCGACTTCGTACTTATGATGAAAGTTGGCAAATACTTCAGGTAAAGGTATTTAGAACCGGAATATGCCCTTCTCGGTTGGAGACATTTGGAAGGGTGATAACAAGAAAATGTGAAGGCTTGCCTCTTGCAATCATTATAACTGCTGGTCTTTTGAAAAATGAAGCATCAGATACTTGGTGGAGCCAAATTGCTGGGAGTCTACATTCATTTATGGTTCGTGATCCAAGCCAATACATGGAGTCACTGACTTTAAGCTACAACCATTTGCCTCCTCTCTTAAGACAGTGTTTTGTCTTTGTTGGAGTATTTCCTGAAGACGATGATATCCCAGTGACAAAGCTGATCTGGCTATGGGTTGCTCAAGGATTCATAGATGAAACTGGATGCAGAATCTTGGAGGATGTTGCACAAGATCTGTTGATGGATTTAATCAAGAGAAGTCTGCTGATGATTGCCAAAACGAGGGCTGATGGCCAAATCAAAGCATGTCGCATCCATGACTTGTTACGGGATTTATGCTTGAGAAAAGCTAAGGAAGAGAATATTTCTCCTCAAATTTACAAGGATGCCCCTGTTCCTGCTATGACATCTCCAAGTATCATCACAAATACGCTACATGGAACGTCACTAGATCCTCCTGCATTACTCACCCACTCTGGTTTTTACTATCCATTTGAGTTGGGCGAAGTTCTTCTAAAGGGTGGATCAATTATTTGGGAAACATACAAATCACTTAGGATTATAGATATGGAGACTGTCCCCATCTCTTTATTTCCTGCTGATGTAATACAACTTGGTAACTTGAGATACTTGGCCATTCAAGCTCGTGATGGAAATCCCCAAGCATCAATATCAAACCTTGTCAACCTACAAATGCTGATAATATCATCCAGGAAGAATATTGTTGTACCAAAAACCTTATGGAGCATGGTCAATCTAAGGCACGTATTTATCAAATCAGGGGAAAATCTAATGGAGGAGCCTTGTTTTGTACAAGAGACAGAGAAGGATGGTTGTCCCAGTGAGTTGGCTAGCCTGCAAACGTTGTCCCAAATAAGCCCTCAATCTTGCCACAATATATTTTCAAGGACTCCCAATCTGAGAAAGCTTGGGTTTTGTGGACCCTTAATCTCAAGCCAAGGTAACATGGAATTTCCAAACATACGCTCTTTGGTGCACCTTCAAAAATTAAAGTTACTAAATACAAATCCTTGCCGTGAACCAACGAGGTTGCTGAATACTATGATGTTCCCTGAAAAGCTGAAGAAACTGACCTTGTCTACTACTGGCATGGATTGGGAAGAGATGTGGACCATCTCCTTGCTACCAAACCTGGAGGTTCTAAAACTAAAATTTCATGCATGCGTTGGTGAAATGTGGGAGATGAGTGACACAGAGATTCAGCGACTCAAGATATTGAAGCTACATGGCTTGGACCTAAGACAATGGGTATGTTCGAAGGATAACTTCCCTGGTCTACAAAGTTTAGTGGTTCATGATTGCTTAAAACTTGAGAGTATCCCATCAAATATCGGGAAGATTTTGACCCTTAATTTGATTGAGGTACGAGGGTGCAATAGCTCTGCATGGGTCTCAGCACAAGATATCCAGAAAGAGCAAGAGAGCGAAGGGAACCATTTTTTGAAAGTCCAAGGAACCAACAATCTTGGTAGTGTTCAGGTTAGTATGTTTTATACGCATGTTAATCAAATTAAACATCTATGAGCATTCGATCTCATGATCATTAATCAATTTCATAACAACAAAGAACATTAAGGTAAATTAATTTAGCATTCAAATTAGATGATGAAGTCATTAAATTAGGATGAGTTGATAACAATAATTGGATAGAGGGACTTCACTAGTTAGGCTGTTTGATAGAGACACTTTGTTATTCTCTTGTTCTTGGCATCTCCGGCGAAATATGGCCACAGGCCACACCTTGTTTTTGGTTGGTTACATGGCAGTTTTTTCTGTCAAAAAGCTGTCAGGATAGATATGTTATTAGAACATAATTTAAGGTGAAACGAATGAATACATCATATGTTAAATGGTTTGAGGCCAAATTTAAGCACGCAACGAAATTAGGTTTATAGAGTGTCATAATAGACCGGCTTACAAGACTTTAAGCCTATAGAACTAAACAATTGTGCGCCCTTTGTAAAAGCGTTGTAATGAGTTTACATGACGTTTTTTGGTGTTTTAACAAATGGTTTAAGACACTTTTAGAGTAACTTAATAGTCTTGGTTTTGTATTATTTTATAACATCAGTTTTGCATTGATTTCATTGTTTTGCAGGGTTAGGATTTGGTAGCTAAACTATGACTAATGACTCTATGCTTTGTATAAGGAATTATGTATTGCCATTGTACTTATAAACTTTGATACACTTGGATATTTTGTAATACAAAAGAAATGAAATAAAGTTCCTTCTTTTACATTATTAAAAAGTATTGTGTGTATAATATTAGATATTGAAATCATTTCATTGGTTACAACAATAATTAAAATTTAAGAATACTAAAATATGAATGTCTGTTTATTCGATCTTAGACATTTAAGACCATCTTCTTTTCAGTAAGAGTATAAAGTAATTCAATTATTATTAGACAAAGTTGATATAACTAAGCGAATTTATATGTATATATAGGGATGAGTTCAAACGAGAACACCTTCATTTTACGAGGATGCGAAAACACCCTTTTACTCTAGACAATCACATGTGATACTATTATTCTATCACATATGATACACATGTGATACTAAATCAGAGACGCGAGCGATTTTATTTGCGATCTTGGTTGCGGGTCAAGTCGTCCTTACACCACTTAGCCCCCTACATGTATTATCACATGTGATAAGAGTGTTGTTGATATGATACTATAATTCATCAAGACCATCACATGTGATGCTAAATCGTAGACGCACACAACCTTTGGTGCTGCCTAAGTCGTAGAACACGTCTTCCGCATACCACCAGGTCCCCTCATGCGTATTATCACATGTGATAAGGGTGTTCTTGTGTTATCGTAAAATGGAGGTGTTTAAGGAAAAATCGTAAAAAGAATGAAAAACTGAGGAAGACCCAAGTAACCGTTCATTTGGACGGTATGCACATGTACATATAAGTAATTTGGAAACAATTTGTCCGATATGCACATGTACTTAACATGCACACATGCATAATATCAAAAAACAACTTCAATTACTTGTATGCACATGTGGATACAGTTCAAATGAATAATTATTAGTGTGTTCCTTAGTTTTTTAGGGCTTTCTTCCTGAACCTTCCCTTCTCTCTCTCTCTCTCTCTATATATATATATATATATATATATA